ATGTTGAGTTTAAAATTTAATGAGCTATGTAAGTGAAGAGATCTCAAACCAGGATTTGGAGCTTGGGAGAAAGGTTGAAAATATATTTAGCTTTGGGAGTTATTTGTATAGAAGTAACAGTTGATGACATCTTTAAAAAACAAGCCTCTGAAACACCATATTCTTCCAAAACCCGATTTTGTCAAAAGAAATGAAAACTAATGATTAGGTCTCTGCTTCCTTGTGGTTAGTGGTGAGTGGCCTGTTGGGAGTATAGCTAATGATGAACTTAGAGTACTCCCCAGAAGTATAAGAAATCATTTGGCTGAAAAGTTTTATTTTTAAATAAGTAATTCATTAATATAGTCAACTGCCAGCTATGTGGAACTTTTTGTTTCAAACAGATTCCTCCTTTACTAAGGCAATAATCTCTAGGATTAAAACACCAGCAAAAATTCTTATATTCATCAAGTCAATTCAGCAAGATATTGACCTGAATGTTGCAATCCATAACACATACTTTCTGAGAGTCATCTGCTATGTACCCAGCACGATGCTAAGTAGCTGACATGCATTATCTCAAAGTAATCTTCACCACAGTGCAGTATCATTTCTGTCTTGTTACCCACTTTCAGGTGGGAAAACAAAGTCTTAGTAACTTCCAAGGTCTGTACCAAATTTATAGCACTATTTTGACTTTACTGAAAATCTACTTTGGTATATAGGTTTTTGGATAAAAGCAAAGAGGTTAGTTTGGAACATGACATAATTTGGGTTAGGTTTGAGAAGCAGTGATTTAATAAATTTAGTATATGTAATAGGGAAACTTTTGGTCTACAAAGTCTAGTCTGAGACTTCTTAAAGAAAAATCTACTCCATAGATTATGTATTTTGGAAGGATAATATCACTATTTCTTACTGGAATACGATATAATTTCAATCTAAAGGGATCTAATAATGAAGAATTAGTACATATAAAGGCCATTCTTTTTGAAAATAATGTTCTAAAAAATGATACCACTTCTACTTGTAAGTCAGCATGCCTACACTTCTCCTGGCCTTGACACCATCTGTCCAAAAATACAGATCCATGCCAGGAACTTCAGTCAGTTCTGCTCTGTTTCACCTACTACAATAGAACTAACTGTTCTGTATTTAATCTTGTATAAACCTCAATTTTTATTTAGATACATAAATGTGCTTAATTAATGGTCTTTAAATAAATTTGGAAAGCATCATCCTGCAACAGCTTAAACACATCTCTATCAAAACCATTACCTTATATAAACACCAAAGCGGCAAAATAAACACAAAGAATAGGAAATGTATCTCAGCTCCTTTATGGAAAATGACTCCATTAATAAGAAAAAGTAAAACACAGGCCTAAAATATAACAGATTTGGAAAAATACAATTGAATGGACGGTATAAAAGCTGGAAGAATTCTAAATTCTTCTCAGTCAATAATAAGTAAACAGCAATACACTGGCTGCCTCTTCTAGTACCAGGCATCACCAACATAGGCTTTTCCGCTTTAAAACCACTCATTTATTTTTTGAGAATAAAGGGCTGGTAAGAAATGATGTGGCAAAAGGGCATACATAGTGTGGCCTTGCTAACAGAAGCACAATATATGAATTCTCCACCATGAATGTAAGCTGCACAGGGGCAGAAACAGTTGTCCTTAATGCTTTCACCCTAATGTGTAGAAGGGACCCTGGACCATAGTGGGTATTCACTAAGTGTTTGCTGAATGAATAAATTAATTTACTTAAGAAGCCATATAAGCTTTTATCAGATGATACAAATTCAAACCCCGTGTATTCTGAAAAGAAAACTCCCAAAGGGATCAGCAGCAAATTCCCTAGGGTTGGAGATAGATGTATTTTATGATCACCTAAATATAAAAATAAAAGTTGTGTATGGCAAAGTTCGAACCTAGTAAACATTTTCTGCCTTCTAAGTACTTTTCAGATAATAATAAAATCCTCCTATTTAGGATGCTTATCTTAAATTAGAAGCTTAACATTTTATAACCTGTAATAATCTTACTTAGATGTTCTCTGAATGTTCTTTCCTTTAATGATGTAACTGTAATTAAGTATACGAACAAATATAAATGCCCATCTTACCCTATCTATGTATGTATTTTCTGGAGAACACTGTGGTTTAAAAATCTTTAATTAAAAAATAAAAACCCATTTCTGAATTTATTCCCATAGTACCTAATTTATTTTTTCATGGTTAGAAAATACTTATGAAACTGGAAAGTCTTGTAGAAATCAGAGTAACTGTCTTAAGCCTGATTTAACAATCAGAAATAAAAGCATGTATCTTGTACTAGCTTAGGTCCGCCTTCAGGACAAAAGCTACCTCAGCTGGAATTTCTGATACTTTATTGCCTTAGTTATGCTATCACTACTCCAAGTTAAATAGGGTGGCAATTTCTAAATCCAAAATTCCTGGACCTGGGATATAACCTTCTGCTTCCTCTTCTTCAATGGTGTTTTCATATACCATTGACTTCAAGCAAATAACTTAAATGGAGGAAATTTGGATGACAAGTTTTCTATACTAATAAGGTAAAGTCAAAGTACCTTTTTCCTGTTATTCACTCTGGCTCAGGTTTAGTATCAAAATAGTTAATTCTAGGTATTTCTTAAAGTCAATACCACTCATTGTTTATTTTATTAATCTATCATTCCTTCTCCTTTGGGTATTAAGGTTTATCCAAGGCCCAACTCTGATTCTCTTTGGATTCCTAAAGAAGGAAGGACATAAAGTAAGGGAAAATAAGGGACCTTAGTGAATGAAGCACGGAGAAGTTGAGTACCTACAATTAGGTCATCTGATCTTCATTTCAGTACACTTCTTTTGACTTTTTTTTGGTTCAGGTTTACCTCTTCGTTAAAATTAAATTTTAACAATTTGTGTCATGGTCTCTATGTACCCTGATTTCTTTCTAATGCAACTTCATGAAACAATTTTCCCAATTGTTCCCCTCTGGATCATGTCATGCTATAGGCATTTCTGCCACTCCTAGAAAACCCTGGTCTGCTGGGACAAGCTGAGATCTCCATACCCCTTGCCTCTTCATGGATTTACAGTACACATTTCCAGGTTAAAAATGATATCTGGGCCCAAACAGTTCATTCTATATTATAAACTTTAAGATACTCAGTATCCTACATTTACCTCATGTAATTTTGGTTTCCTTACATTTGGAAAGAAGATGAGTCAAGTATGACTGGCTTAGTGAGCTGGCACATTTCTTCACTGGCCATAGCCCAGTTTGCCTTGACTTAAAATGGGAGTATAACAAATCTTCCCTTTCAGGTAAAAGAGGAAATAAAAATAGAATCAACAAAGAAACAAAACAAAAAAAAAACCATAACAAACTAAAATTACAAAAAAGGAAAAGTCCAAACCTTTTTTTTAGCAGTTGTAATGAAATGATAGAGGTTGCTTTCACCCTCAGAAGTGTTCTCTTAACAGGCTTATGAGACTAAAGAGAGAGTATACTCATCGAGCACGTACTATAGTATGAATCATGAATAACATTTACATCAACTAATTGGATAAAATATGGTATGTGTTAAGAACTGAATTTGGATGAGATAATAACAGATAGTAAAAGAAGAATTATTTTAGGAATGACCAGAGATATTCCACAGTAACAATGGAAATTGTTTTGTTTAAACATGAATTGTGTGGAATTCACTTTAAGATTTTGTTAAACAAAACTGAAAGAATGTTTTGTTTTATATAAATATTCCTCACTAATTAGATATTTGTTTAATTACCAATTTCAGAAATACTAATTCTGTTAATATGGATGTTGTAACTCTGGATAACTATCTTGGTAAAAACCACAAAATTTTCTCTCATTTTTTTTCTTCTTTCATCAAATCTTTTAGTGGGTAGGAGGAGAGCTAAAGCCTGAGTTACAGGTAAATATGCTGAATTAAGAATTCTAGGGAAAGGACTGTGAAAGAAAAATTGGAATTTTTCATCACTGAACCATGATCAATGTATAAAGTTGAGTATTTGAGATTATATTGGCAAAAAAAGTGATCAAGATTTTGTGTTTAGATCCATTCTTACCTATAAAGTCTTATACTTTGATGTGTAGACCTTTTGTAAGAATCCATTTATCTGCAGTAGTAGTAGTAGCAATAATAGTAATAGTAGTAATAAAAGTATGCACTTTGTGCTGAATGTATTACTTTAATCTCTTGTGACAATCTTACAGTTATTATTATTATCATTCCCATCTTAGAGATAAGGAAACTAAGGCAAGTGAGGTTATGTAATTTACTCAAGTTAACATAATTGGAAGCAGACAGAGTTGGGATTCAAACCCAGCTCAGCTTTCACAGCTTGGACTCAGCTCAGCTTTCACAGCAAATCAAATCATGGATAAGACTGACCAGATCAAGTTTGAACTGGATCTATTAGTTTTCTTAATTAAGCAATGGAAAACAAGAAAAGCATCATAGGTCTTAAAAGATCAGTGTTTTGCAATTCTGTATGCTGACACATAACTTGCACTTCAGCAGACTTTGCAAGGACTCTCAGACACCACTGACTGTAGTCTACTTCATTATTCCAGGAATGAAGGAACAGAGCCCAGTGATGTTAAGAACTTTCTCAAATCATGATTTGCTAGAACACAGCTCTCTTCACATTTCTTTGCAGTGTTCTTTCCACTGCAATATATGCAATTGTCAGCTGATTACATGAACCCTGGAACTCTATTATAGAGAAAATTTCTGGAAGTAAGTTAAAATGGAATTTAAGAATCTATTAGTTGCACATGATGTTATTTTAAAATATTCTAACTAGGATGATTTTTCAAGTGAATTTACCCTACCTATTACGATAAGTATGACTATTTTAAAATTTTAATTTCCAAGTCATATTGATATAACTTATCAATTCCCATCTTAAGCTAACCAAGCTACTTACTTACATTACTGAATAAGAAAATACCTAAAGAAGTAAGGAGAGAAGCAATTTTACCTTACTACATTTTGCTGCATATGTTCAACCTTCATTAAAATTTGGACCCCAGTCTGACAGTGAATGTAGGCTTTCAACCTGAAATAAAAGTGTCATATTGAAGGAAGCAAAATTGATGTTTACTATATCTCAAGACAGCATCTATGAAAGACTAAGCTTTATGAGCAGCTAATAATACTTAAAATTTATCTATTCAAGCATGGAAAAGGGGTTAAAGACACTTTCTAACCAAGGATCTCAATTTTTAAAAATTACCTTTCGTCCCTCTGTACAACTAAATATCTTAAAATAAAACACATATTGCAGTAAATTAAAACCTTGATACTTTATTTCTTATTAAAATATGTATCCAATTGAGTGACAGGTGTTTTGACTTACTACCAACTATATGACTGAGAGTAACAAATGGATTATCAGTAATAAGAGGGAAAGAAATCCAACTATTACATCTGTGCTAAATGGACTGCTTGACATGTGATATGGATCTGATTCAGTCTGTGCACTACCTTTTATCAAAAGTAGAAGATGAGATTTAACTAAGCTCGATTGGACAATTTAGAACCCACCCAGTCTAAATTTTAAACATTAAGTTACTCTGGAACCAAACCAAACATTCACATCCCAGGCAATACCATCCAGAGAAAAAGAAAGTCAACTGGGTTCCTGTCCAGGACCACTACTAATTCACACTCTAAATTGTTTCCTTTTCTGATCACTGATTACATGTGCTAGGTCCTGTACTAGGAACTTAATATATACTATTTTTCTTTAAAGCTTCTGAAGAACCCTATCTAGTAGATATGTAATTTTCATTTCACTGATGGAAAAAATTAACCATAAGTTAAGTGACACAGCTAATAAGGAACAGCTAACTTTCTGACCCAGATATTCATTACTGAATTTTTCCACTATGTTATGTTAACCATTTCTGTCCATGCTATATTTCTGGACAGGAGGCTAGTGTATCTTAGTTTTATGAAGACTTGGCTAAAACAGTATTTCCTGTCTTTAACAGTTACTTGGAAACTTAATTTTCAGAGCTTTTGGTTCAACTTGAAAGGTAGTTAGTTTAGTTTAAATGTTAAGAGTGCAGACTCTGACTCCAGATTGCCTGGGTTTAAATCCCAGCTTTCCTGCTTATCAGCTATATGAAGTCACTAAACCACTTTAAGGCTTGGTTTTCCCATCTGTAAAATGGGTATAGTAGCACTAATCTACCTTACACAATTACTGTGAGGATTAAGTGAATTAATACATTTATTAGCATCTGCTTCATAGAGTTTCTGGACCACAGAAAACAGTAAGAGTTAAATACTATTTCATTACTATCCAAAAGGATCACCTCTGCCTGGTAAGGCCTGTGGAAACAGAATGTAAATGCACACACAGTAAAATGCACTAACACATAAAATTCTAATAAGATTATGGCTTTACATAATAAATATGCACTCAACAGATACTTCAACATTTTTAATAATTTTAGAAAATTAGGAGATTTTAAAACATACCTTTGACGAATTACAGGATCAGACTTTTCAGGATCAATGTAAGGTCTTAGGATTTCACTAATAGTTTTATCTTCTGGTACTCTGTTCAAAAAAGAAAAAAACCAACAGAATTTGTATTATTTATAACTTTCTACTAGAGTGTTAACTTATAATTACTAAATCTTGTGTTTTCTTTGTTTAAAGAAACTGAACAAAGACTTTTATTTTGCTCTTGGCAAAATATAACATCCCTTCAAACAAAATTACTTATGAAAAAAGCTCAAGAGGACTTCTTGGATATATTAACTCAGTCCTAAAGAACAATATTTTGGAAAGGTCCCTATAAATGAATTATAAAAATACAAAGTCTCTTTTAGCACACATCTGTGCCCAAAGATGAAAAAGAAAGAAGTCAGGATGAAATATACTTGAAAGCTGCAGAAATAAAAAATCTGAAAAAAGATGTTGCTAATTTCAGTGCATGTTCAAGTTTATTCATTCTAAATCAAAAGACTGGGTTGAAAATTGATATTCCTTTCCTTGAAAACAAAACATTTCAGGGTTCCAAACTTTCCTATAGGTATGCACATTGTTTTAAACTATAAAGCTGTAGAGACAAAATTAAGACGTTGCTTTGAATAACTTTCCTCAACCATTTATACATACTCACATACACTACCGTGCAATATATCTCTATCTCTAAACTCAAGTCCTTTCCTTGTTTTAGTATTTCAAAGAACATTTTCATTAAAATCCATATGACAAATACACAGTTTATGTAAAATGTGGATATTGTAAATACATTACTTAAAAAGCACTTTAAAATTTTCCTAACCTAAGGGATCAAATAGTACACAACCACTATAATTTTTAAAAGACACTTGAAAATGTTCACAATATGAAGGATAATAAACTGTTTATGCAAATTGTTCTAATTATGAATATACATATATATGTGTCTAAAATAATGTATTTTCTAAGAGACACACTATGATGTCAATAGTAGTAATTTTTGCACAGTAGAATGTGGGGCCATTACTCATTTCCTATACAACCACCCAGCTGAAGAAATAGAAAGTTTTTAGCCTTCTTGAGTCTCCCTGCGTCTCCCTCCTTATATCTATCTACTTTGCTTGCTCAAGTAAACACCACCATGATTTCTGTGTTAATCATTTCCCTTAGAGTTCTACCATCTATCTCTGTAGGTATTCCTAAAAAAGTACAGTTTTGGTTTTTTTTCCTTCCAATCATACTTTATGCATCATCCCTTAACCTGTTTTCCTCATTCAATGTTATTTCTCAGATTCATCCATGTTGATGTGTGTAGCTATAGTTCATTCATTTTCAGTGATGCTTAACATTTTCACTCTATCAATATACTACAGCTTAAGTTACCCATTCTACTACTGACATCACATTTAAATTAACAGCTTGTCAAACAGGAAGACATAATGAAAACAAGTAAATTCTTAATAGTGGTGGTACCTTTTTTCTATGTACACAGCTTGACTCTGAGGGAATTGTAACTTCACATGCCAACAAAACTGTTGTTTTCTAAGAAAGAAAATAATCATGTGAGGATCAAGGGAGACAATGAAAGGTCTAAACACAAACTTCCAGGTGGTAATTCTAAAAGTATTCTTAGAATTTAACCTATCTTATCTACTAAGTCTCTTTTCTGTTTTTGAAGATTTTGGGGGCTATTCTTTTAAACACTATATTAGCAAAGATTTTAAAGAGAAAAAAAAGAAGTGCAGCAGTGCTGAATTCTAAGGACTTCATATTCCTGAAATAGGATGCAATTTCTCATAGTTCAGGGGCTTTTGAGATCAGTGTCCTACTACTTTAAGTTTACAAATAAATTTCCTCATGAACAAAACAATGAACTGACGTCTTTGCCTGACTAGTTTGGAAATTAGGTGAATGAAGTATTATCGGGTTGAGACCAGCTGGCTACAGATGCACTCCTGAGCCATGAGTGTGTCGTGCATTCAGCAGCAAAACAGTAGACAACAAGTTGGTTGCTAAGCAGAAGGCACTCTGAGCTGTAGTCCTTTGCTTTCAGGTCTAAACTCTGGCCGGACATAGGATCAACAGTAATAATTCACTGAATATCTAACCTCAGTAAATAGCCATATGTTCTGTTTAACACATCTAAATTTGGTGACACTACACACCATTACTTTTGAAAAAAATTTAATACTCAAAATACTGAATTATTTACAGAAAGTTAAATGTCTTCACTACAAGATGGCTTACTGCACATTAGCAAATAAATGGCCAGCAACATGTCTAAGCAATGGCCAGCATCTCTTAAATCTCAAATAATTTTTTAAAAACAATCTAGTAGAGTATCTCCTACCAAACATTGATATGATCTACTCAAATTTTTGTCAGGAGGCAACGACCATAAAATCCAGTAAAAACCCTTCTTTATTTGGATAAGTTATCACAGGTCTGCTCATGGAAGCTTTGTTCAATAAAGACAGTTTTAGGCATTAGCTAGAGAAAAATATGCTTGATTTTGCTTATGTTGATAGTGTCACATCATACAAGAAACAATCAGGTTCATTATCTTTTTGATAGAACAAAGTTGTAGGGCACCTTTTATTAATTTAAAGGCCAGATGTGTAAAATCTCAAGAGGAAAAACACACACAAAAAAATCTGAATGCAAATGCAAGTCATTGGTTTTAAATATGTAATTCTTTGAAAACAAAACACCTTTCCAACATTGGTTACCTGTGAAATAGGCAAAGCAACTAAGAGATAATCACATTTCTCTTTTAGTAAGAAATAAATTGACTTTTAAAATCTTAAAGCGTACCGGTTTCTTTCTCAATACAGTTGTTTTTCCATGTTAATTAAGTTACAAGGGAAAAAAAAGGTTATGAACTTGTCATCTTGTGGAATTGTAAATTATACTCAATCACTCCAATAACCGAGTAATTTAAAGAACAATTCACCTTTCTTAACATTCAGTTGACCCTAAATACCTTCAGAAAGTACTTACATGTTCCCAAAACAGAGAAAGAATAGACCTTGGAAATAATTTATTTACTATAGTTAATGAACTACATGAACAAATTTGAAAAGTACATTTACTTTTAAAAATGTAATCTTACAGTATTTCAAAACAAAGAAAAAATATAAAGAACACTCACTGTAACACTTAGATTTAACCAACTTGCATATTGCTATATTTGAGATTTTTTTCCCCTAAGAAATGAGATTAGGCTACTGATAACCTAATCTAAGGTTACTGATAAATGGTAATAATATGAATATTAATATTCATAATAAATTGTATTTTGAGTGATGGTAACAATTTCAATGTTGTCAACTTTAAATATTCTGTTTTGCTTTTTCATTTACATTATGCTTTAGAGGTTTATTCATGATGGTACATATAAATTCATCAATTTTATCTGTTGTACAGTATTCCATTGTGTGAAGAATACCAAAATCTACTTATCCATTTTCTACTGATAGACATTATGACTGCTTCCAATTTTTTTATCATGTTTTCCCTTAAGTTAAAGAAAAAAATAAAACAATATCACCCAGGAAGGAGATCATTTATCTCTACTGCTACAATGAATTAAAAGTTAACTTGACTGAAAAACTGCTTGTACTCTTTTACTCTACTGTAGTATGAGGCATTTGAGAGCAGTTATTCAGACTAGATTTAAGTGAAAGTAGACAAAGGGAGGTTGGAGGGTGCTTATGAAGATTTCCTGAAATTGATGTTGCTGAAATTGAGATAGTTCTGACATGGGTAATCACATCTCTTTCCAAGTCTCAAAAAATTAACTTTGTTTCCCATCTCTCAAAATTGTATGCAGTGACACATGTCCCACTTAAAACAATTTACATACACCAAAATCCCAGCAATACTCCTTATGAGGGAGCCTGTAATTTTATTTTTTTGTTTATATTCGTACACTTTCTAAAAGAACACATTTTGTGAAGGAAAAAATTAAAGTTAGTAATGCTTCAGTGAGTACCTCTGAGCATATATAATTGTTTTTGTATTTTGGATTATTTTCTGAAGATAGGTTTCAAGAAGTAGAATCACTAGGAAAGAGCAGGGTTGCTCAACCTCAGCAGTGCTGACATTTTGGACCAGAGAATTCCTTGTTAGGTGGTTGGGCGTGGGAGACACTGTCCTGGGCACTGTGGGATGTTTAGCGGCATCCCAAGTCTCCACCCATGAGATGCCACTACCAACACCCACTGTGCAGGTGTGACAACTAAAGATGCACCCAGTTTCTGCCAATGTCTTCTAGCGGGTGAAATCACCACTGTTTGAGAACCATCAGGACAGAAATTTACACATTTCTACTACTCGTAATACATTAAGACCTCTGCTCCCAAAATTCAACAAAATGCCTTCAATTATAATAAAGCCATTGATGATTGGATTAAAGATGGTGGCGTGAGAGGTGAGACAGAGACCTCCTCTTAAAACCACATATAATATGAAAATATACTTATTACAATTAATCCTGAAAGAGCAACAGGAAAGAAGGCTACACCAGACTGCATACACCTGGAGAAAAGAGCAGACCTCATGGAACACGGTAACGTACCAAAGCTGTGGCTAAGCAGCTCCAAGGCTCCCCACCGTGATACACAGCCTGCTGTGTCTTCCTCCCAGCTAGTCTGCACCTGGCACAGACTCGCAAACCGGCAACCCCTGCCCTGGCATCAGGCCAGCCAGAGGGAAGCCCCGTGTACAGCAGCTACAAACATAAAGCATAGAAGCTTACACTTGTGTGTTTGGCTCACTGGTTCTGACAGTGGAGACAGGCATAGCAACAGCTCTTTCCTCACCCCAGGCACCAGTACTGCTCCCCTGCAACCCCCGACATTGCTCCAGGGGCTGAGCAGCTCCAGAGAGTAGAGCTTCTGGGCACTAGAGGGCACCATACACAAATTATGAAATGTCAAAGGAACCTGGTTCAAAGCAAAATTATGAATACACCTGAAAAAGATTCAAATGAAATCAACCTCATGAATCTTCCTGAAAGAGATTTCAAAATAAAAATCATTAACATGCTCATAGAGGTACAGAAAAATATTCAAGAACTCAGGAACGAATTTAGGACGGAGATCCAATCATTGAGGAACACAATGGAGAGTATTAAAGGCAGATTATATATGGTGAAGACAATAAATGAAATAGAAATTAGGGAAGAGGAATACAAAGAAGCTGAGGCACAGAGAGAAAAAAGGATCTCTAAGAATGAAAGAATACTGAGAGAACTGTGTGACCAATCCAAATGGAACAATATTGGTATTATAGGGGTACCAGAAGAAGAAGAGAGAGAAAAAGAGATAGAAAGTATCTTTGAGGAGGTAATTGCTGAAAGCCTCCCCAGTCTGGTAAAGGAGATAGCCTCTAAGGCCATGGAGGTGCACAGATCTCCCAACACAAGGGACCCAAGGGGGACAACACCAAGACCTATAATAATTAAAATGGCAAAGAACAAGGATAAGGACAGACTATTAAAAGCAGCCAGAGAGAGAAATGAGATCATATACAAAGGGAAACCCATCAGGCTATCATCAGACTTCTCAGCAGAAACCTTACAGGCCAGAAGGGAGTGGCATGATACATTTAATGCAATGAAGCAGAAGGGTGTAGAACCAAGAATACTTTATCCAGCAAGATTATCATTTAAATTTGAAGGAGGGATAAAACAATTTCCAGATAAGCAAAAGCTGAAAGAATTTAACTCCCAGAAACCATCTCTACAGTGTATTTTGAAGGGACTGCTACAGATGGAAGTGTTCCTAAGGTTAAGTAGCTGTCACCAGAGGTAATAAAAAAGGATTGACAAAGAGTATACAATATGGTACCTAATACATACAGAATGGAGGAAGAAGAAAAGGAGGGGGAAAAAAAAAAAAGAACTTTGAGATTGTATTTGTAATAGCATACTAAGTGAGTTAAGTTAGACTTAGTAAAGAAGTTACCCTTGAACCTTTGGTAAGCATGAAATCTAAAGCCTGCAATGGCAATAAGTACATACCTATTGATTATCACCCTAAATGTAAACGGTCTGAATGCACCAATCAAAAGACAGAGTCATTAATGGATAAAAAAACAAGACCCATCTATATGCAGCCTACAAGAGACTCACTTCAAACCCAAAGACATGTACAGACTAAAAGTGAAGGGATGGAAAAAGATATTTCATGCAACTTATAGGAAGAAAAAAGAAGGTGTTGCATTACTTGTATCAGACAAAATAGACCTCAAAACAAAGAAAGTCACAGGAGACAAAGAAGGACATTACATAATGATAAAGGGGTCAATCCAATAAGAGGATAAACAATTATAAATAACTATACATGCAACACAGGAGCACCTACATATGTGACACAAATACTAACAGAATTAAAAGGGGAAACAGAATGTAATGCATTCATTCTAGGAGACTTCAACACTCCACTCACTCCAAAGGACATATCAACCAGACAGAAAATAAGTAAGGAGACAGAGGCATTGAACAACACATTAGAACAGATGGACTTAACAGACATCTA